GTACCATTTTGATAACTTACCCAGAAAGAACCGTACGTATCAAATCTTATTGTGAACCCTCTACTTCAACCAAGACAGTAATAATTGGGAAAATTCGGATTATGCGATTGTTCCTCTATTTTTCCTATTTAGTGACGTGCAAAAGTTTTGTAAAAAATCTGATAGTATTTACCGGGGCACGTGTTAGAGAATTTTTAGCTATTTTTTGGTTGACGGTGCTAGTGGTTGTTAAATATTGAGACAAATCAATTGACGAGGGCAGCACCTCCCAATGATCACCAACAAACCGACCATGTAACGGCCGATCAGCCATGAACGATGCATCTGTTATGATCGGCATCATCACCGTCGACTCAGCGCACGTCGCGCACCAATAGCGGCGCGTGGCGTGCGCCCCACTTAGCGAACGCACGAATTGCACTCATCACCAGTGTCACGTGCGGACGTCACATCCGTCTTCCTAACCTGCGAGCGGAAAGACATCTTGTCATTTGTCTTTTACCTTCTTGACCGAGTACTCAACGCGAACGACTCAGCATTATGTGACCTGTGCATTTTGGCCGAAAGGAACGGTCACACCAATGCAAATCATCCACTCAACACACAGTTCGACTCACTGACGAGAGAACCAGCTCAACTTATCCAACGAGACGTCGATCTTTTCTTTGAGCTAATTATCTGAGGGAACGAGGTGCTTTACGACCACCTCGTTGCAATTATCATCACAGTCATTCTACATCCACTGCACGGTAATCATACACTACTCAATTCATTCAGACTCTCTTACAAGAACAAAACATTCATTGTGGGGCCATTTACTTAATTATAAAAAGCTCTCTACATTAGTTCTTATCATTCAGACTCACATGGTATGATCACACTACTCACACCTTGCAGGTTTGCTCACTTTCTTGTTTTCATTACACACTGACTCAATAAATTAATCACAAAACCAAAACGTGTACACTTTGCCACGCGGCTGTCACCAGACATCCATTCCATACTTGCTCGTTTCATGTCAATGCAAATCAACATACAGTCCACTAATTTCTTAAAGTATAACTCACGAAACGATCATTATTCTACAGTAGTCAAAAATCACAAACGCAAAAAAAAAAAAAAAATGTGAATTTCTTATTGAAGCTTTAGAGATACTAGATTTATATAATTATAGTAACGATATATCATCAGAAGTACTACTTCTCCTTTTTGGAGATATTTTGGTAGGGTGCGCTGTAGTTTTAAAAATCACAGATCGAAATTTTCGTTTCTTTCCGTGACAAATTAACTTATATTTTAAATTTGTGTATTTCCTTTATTAAGTAAGTATATGTATTATACGGTTTTAAATATTTCCATATCCAGTAAAACAGTACATAGACCCTTTAGTTGATATTGTAATAAAGTTCATGTACAACTTTGAATAGTATCAGTTTGTGGACCGTGTAAGGGGTGTTTATGAATTACTTCGGAAACACAATTTTTTTAAACTACCGATACCTTCTATTACTATGTTTTTTACACTAATATAATTCTAACTATCGGTTCGGATAGTTTCGTCCGCTTCGTATCGGGTCATGGCCTTGACTGCAGAAAATCCGTTGCGAATCGAAATTCGTTGTTTCGATAACGGTTGTATTGTTTCTGTTGTGTTTCGCACGTGCTATAAACACAGGCCTTTTGTCTCTGGACAACCGTCAGCCTGGCATGCCTCGTACCGCCAAAAGTTCATTATTTTTGCATCCAGAAAAATAAAAATAGTAGTTAAATTTAAGGCACGAAGCTTTCTGGGTTTATGATTATTTCTGATCATAAGCAACATTTTCTCTATTCATAGACAGATAATATAATTGAAAATTATATTAGTAGATGGAGTATTATCTAACAACAGGAAACAATGAAAGTGGAAAGAAGAGCGAACCAAAAAATTAATGGCGATAATTCATCCCATATAATATTATATAACTGCAGCTTACATATCATTATGTTTCACATATATGCATATCTAGAAGCGAATAGAAAATTTAGGCGGAACAGGAAAATTCTAGATGCGATTTTTGTCACTCTGTAAACTCGTTTACTTCACCTCGCAGACATTTGTACTATTCATGGAATCTATTTGCTGGACGGAGTTGAACTGGACGAGTACTAATTCGTAGGTGACTATAGTGCCCGCAACCTGCAAAATATGAACAATGACAAATTCGAGTTTAATTCTAATACAATCAACAAAATATTGCAATAGGACGAATAGTTGAATTGTTTTTGAAAAGTAGGTAAATCATATGTAATAAATTCTATGTATGTTTTTTCTATACCTCGAACAGAGGTAAACAATTTCAGGTCTGTATAATTAAATATCCCGATTTTCGTAATAGGCTAATGCAGCGTGTATAAGGGTGGTCCATTTAAGTAAGGCCACCTAAATATCTCTTCAGGTTATTGTGATGCAAAAAATATTTCTTACTTAATGTGTATTGTGTTAATGGACCAATATCTGGCAAGAATATTTTTTTCCCAAGGTCATTTTTTTCAGAGTTATCAAGGTCATCGGTGTTTCTTGACACATAACTACATTTTTTTTATTGCATTACGTAGCTGATCGTAAAATACATTCAGATATGTATAATAACATGACCTTCAAATGACCTTGACCTTCGAAAATTAAAGTTTTACATAAAATTGATGTCAAATATTTTTGGCCAAGACTTCTGAACCTGTGAATGCGAAAAAAATATTTTTTACAACACTAAACATATCGATCATCAGACGTTTTAAGACAACACTCACTTTCTCTTAAGTTATCATCTTCAGAGATGTTCAAAACATGTCCTGCGGTGATACATTTCCTGAAACGTGCAATGACCGACTGTACAGATTTTTTAATTGTTTCGGAATTAATATCCGCACGACCTCTAACTATTCGGTTAATAGTTATAATTTAATTAATATAATTAATAATTAAATATAATAAAATTTATAATTAATATTAATAATTAGTCTGGTGAACGCGGTGGCCACCCTACAATTCCAGTACGACCAATCCATCGATTTGGAAATTTTAAATACACAATTTGTTTGACAAGGCGTGTAGAATGAGCCGAACAACCGTCATGCTGATACCACATTCTTAAACGGATATCTAGTGGTACATCATGTACAAGCATTTCTAACTTATTTTGCAAGAATGTGGGATACTTTTCACCATTTAGAGTACCAATTATTGATAGACATCATTATAACTCCGAAAAACATGATCTTGGAAAACAAATATTCTTGTCAGATATTGGTCCATTGACACCATGCACATTACATGACAAATATTTTTTTGCATCACAATAACCTAAAGAGATATTTAGGTGGCCTTACTTACGGACCACCCTGCATATTACCTATTTATGATTAAGATACATACCGTTAGCACGAGGCTTCTAGTTACTGAGAAGAATTTCATGCCTGTTAAGCAAATGTTGTCTGTCGTTACTTGCAATAGAAATCTCATCACCTATGAAAATACAAAGATTCATTTAGTTGCAGTTTTGCGGAAATGATTCTAGTAAAAAATGTATAGCCGGTTAAATCGTTTATTTCTATGTGAAAAATTGTGTTTTTATTGAAGTATACACCGAGGATGATTGTCAAGCTAGTTTTATTCATCACTATCATTTTCGCTAGGATTACCTATCTGTCTCCAACGAGGGGACCTGTCATAAGTAGTCTTTTCATAACAATTTGCACCTTCAAGTGAAACATACTAGTATTTGTTTTATGAGTGTGAAACGTGGGAAAAAGGTGAGGATTTGAAAGGAGAAAAGAGAAACGGCGGTGTGGCGCTAGTGAGGCTTCGCACGTACCGCCTTGCTCGACGGACTTGGCCGTCTAGTGGTCTAGTGATTTCTACCGCCATATT